CTACTACTACTACTACTACTACTACTACTACTACTAGTATTACTACTCCTACTGATCCTACTAATGCTACTACGGCTACTACGACGACTACTACTACTACGCTGCTACTACTACTACTAATGCTACTACCACTACTACTACTACTACTACTACTACTACTACTACTACTACTACTACTACTACTACTACGACTACGACTACTACTACTACTACTACTATTACTACTACCACTACCACTACTACTGATACTACTACTACGACTACTACTACTACTACTACTACTACTACTACTACGACTACTACTACTACTACTACTACTACTACTACTACTACTCCTACTACGACTACTACTACTACTACTACTACTACTACTACTACTACTACTCCTACTACTACGACTACTACTACTACTACTACTACTACTACTACTACTACTACTACTACTATTAGAACTACTCCTGCTCCTCCCCGTCCTCCTCCTCATCCTCCTCCTCCTCTTTCTCCGCCTCCTCCTCCTCATCATCCTCCTCTTTCTCCTCCTCCTCCTCCTCTCCCTCCTGCTCAACCTTCTTTCCCTCCTCCTCCTCCTCCTTCTGCTTCTCCTCCTGCTGCTCCTCCTGCTCCTCCTGCGTACTTCTCCTTTTCCTTCTCCTCCTCCTGCTGCTCCTTCTTCTCCTCCGCCTCCTCCTCCTCCTCCTCATCCCTTCTCCCCGTCGCACCCCGAGGCCAGTGTTCAGGGCGGGCCGGGCGTGTCACCTTAGACGTCCTCACCACTCATGACCCTGAAGCTTAAAGATTGGCAGCAGTGTCACAACTGGAGGGCGGGTCGTTTTCAAAATGTAGCTCTCGCCCTAGCGCCGCGCACAGTCGTTTTGACGAATTGCACGAGTTTCACGGGTTCCAATGATCAGCGTATAAGAAATGGTTTGTTGGAAGGGTTTCGGAGCCTGAGGGCGCAACACATACATTGATTTGCGGTGTTGAAGTCCCAGGTATGGCGTTCTGGCGCGATTCAAGACCGTCAAGACGCAACAGCCAGGTTGATCCGTGGCATGATTCAGGACCGTCAAGACGCAACAACCCAGTCCCGTGATCGCCGATCACGCTGGGGAAACCTCTCCCAGGATGCGTTCTGACCAGGATTTTGAAGCGAATCCAGCGGTGGCGACGAGGGCCTCCCAGGAAGCGGAGAAAGGGGAAAACGGGCGAAGGGTAGCAGTATGGGCACCTTTTCCTCCTCTGTCGCGTGATCCCAAGATCTCTACGATGTGTGATCGCCAGTCGTGCGACCAGCAGGTGCTGAGGCGACGCAGCCGCATCGCCTGCGCGTGCGGGAGGCCCCTCGAAGGCCCTCCGAGATCCTGGGACGAACCCAGACATCCTGGCGTCTTCGGTGGCAACTCACGGGAGCCTCCCATGCCATCTTGCTGGCTCTTGCGAAACGGCGCCAAACGACGCTGGTCGACGCTTAGTCGGCGCTGATCGACGCTAGTCGACACTAATCAACGCGAAATCGGCGCTATCTCATCGATTACCAAACGAAAAATCGGCGCTAGTGCACTCTAGAGACGGAACTGCGAGGGTATACAAGGCTCCCAAGACTTGCCACCGAAGGCGTTGCAGTTTTCGTCCGCAACGGGCGATGCTGCCTCGTTGCGGGTCCCGGGTCGGCATACGTAAGAGTGGCCCTAGGCAAGAGTGACCTCTGGTGCGCGACTTTCAGTGGCCGCGGGGAGGCCGAATCGGAGCGCGCAAGCCGTTGCTATCGCATCACTTCCCTACATCTGGGGACCCCAGTGTGTCCGCACGAAGGGTCGCTCCGACGAAAAGCCACTCTTACGTATAGCCTGCCTGGGCCCTCACGGATCGACCCGGTTCGAAAACTACCCCGGAACGAAATGGTCCAGCCTGCCGCGGACAAGCAACGACGGATGGGACTTTCGGCCTCCGATGGGCTCCTGCCAGGCCTCGGGGCCCTCAAAAGAATGGCCCAGGACGAAAAGGCGGTTCCCGGGACAAGGGTCTGGGTGTCTACGTTCATACAAAGTAGACAAGCGCGTTCCACTACTCGCAAAGTAACTAATCGCAAATGGCCTGGATCCGCCGCGGAGGATTCACGTTCCATTGCATCGGAGCAACCATGTGCTTTTTGGACGCCTCCGAGTAGGCACTTTGCGAGTAGTGGGAAACGCTCGGTGAAAAATCAACACGTCGGGGGTCTAAATCGGAGGCCCTCGAAGAGGGAAGGTGTGGCCAGGTTCAACATCGGACCCGGAAAAGCCAAACGACGGTTGTTCACAGATTTCGGTTTCCAAAGGCAGATTTCCTCGGGCCCCAGGACTGTCAGAAAAAAACTCGGGACGAACACAAATACCCTGGAGCAAGGGTTGGGACTTCCGAGGAACCCGTTTTGCTTGTTTGGTTCCCCCTTTGCAGACCTTGTCGTTCAGGAGGTGAAGCGCCTCGGCGCCTCTCACATCATGAATGGCAAGGACGGCGGGGGGAAAGCAGGATCAGGAAGAAAGGGGAGGATGGCGTGTTTGGGTCTCCCAGTAGCCACGGCTGAACGCGGCTAGAAAAACTGGACAGGAGGGTGCATCAAAGGGATATGTGGAGTGATTTCAAGCGAAAACCGACGGGATCCCAAGAAGACTTCCAGGCGTCGCGACATAATTCACGAAAGGCGTGTTTTCTTCATTTCGGCCTCGGGAAGCCCTCCTCTTTCTGCCTCCGCCACCTCCTCCTCCTCCTCCTCCTCCTCCTCCTCCTCCTCCTCCCCCTCCTCTCCCCCCTCTGAAGGGACCAAGGGAGACACGTTGATATACAAGTTGTCAGATTCTCTGCGAGCTTACATGCTACTATGTTCTGGTGTTCCTTTCCCCCGACACATCCCAAATTCTTCAATATTTTCACAGAACACTACGTTTATGTGCGTGTGTGCCTCTTTTTCCCTCCTGCCCCTCCACCCCCTCCTCCTCCTCCTCCTCCGCCTCCTCCTCCTCCTCCTCCTCATCCTTCTCCTCCTCCTCCTCCTTCTCCTCCTCCTCCTCCTCCTCCTCCTCCTCCTCCTCCTCTTCCTCCTCCTCCTCCTCCTCCTCAGTTCTCTCGACATCGGCCTGGACTGGGCCAGGGTGGTCTTCAAAGCCCGCGGTGGCACCTTCATCACCGCCAGCTTCTTCAGGAAGTCCACGGGCCTGTAGCCGTCCACGAGCTGGACCGGTTGCCGAGGGGCGGGGAGGCGGGGGGGGGCAGCCGCTCCCAGTTCAGCCCCCCCCCCAAGCCCCATCGCATCCCCTCCTCTATCCTCCCGTCCCTCCTCCTCCTCCTCCTCCTCCTCCTCCTCCTCCTCCTCCTCCTCCTCCTCCTCCTCCGCCTCTTCCTCCTCCTCCTCCTCCTTCTCCTCCTCCTCCTCCTCCTCCTCCTCCTTCTCCTCCTCCTCCTCCATCCTTCATTTTCGTTCCTTTCCTCCGCGAGCCTCGGGCGGTCGCACGCCGCCGCTTCCCGCCGCGGGCCCCCCACCCGCAGGGCCGCACGGCTGGGGGCCTCTAGAATTAGGTCGGGCATCGTCCCCCTTCCAGACGGATCTTGGGCAAAATATCAAAAATAGTCCACCAAATATTCAAATATAGTCAACAAATGGTAGAAAAATCGTCCCCGTACTATGTTTAACTATGTTTGAACATTCCTCCTGTAGAGGGAAATGCCCGGCTTACCCCTCGATCCATCTCCGAATCATCACCTGCGGCGCAAATGTCGCTGCCTACGAGGTGCCCTCCACACCTGTGGCGTCCAAAACCCTGACAGCGGAGCAGGCCAAAGCCAGTGGAAAGCCAGTGGGAGACGCCTGCAAGGACGCCTGAAAGGGATGTCTGGGAGGCTTGCAAGCTCGTGAAAGGAGCTTCGCAGGAGCTTCCAAAGAGCATCGAAGGAGCTGCGGAAAGGCTTCCTGGAAACGTCTTGGGAACGAGCATGAAAACGATTGCCAGAGCACGCTGCCAGCTCAAGCAGCCTGCTGGGACGCTGCTTGACCGACGCCTGAAAGAGCTTCCGGGCTACCCTGCGCTGCCGGCTTCTAATATGAAGCCCTCCTCGCCCTGAGAAAGCCATCTGGGAACAGCCAAGGGCCAAAGCGCAGGCAAAAGATCCGCGAAGTCGACCGGTCCTCGCTTTATGCCCAGCCGGCGAGGCGTGCAAACCCGATGGCGGGGTGGTGCTGCCACGGGTGCGGCCGCCAGGTGTGTCTCCACGGCTTCACGTAAGAATGGCCCTGGGCAAGAGTGACTTTTGTGGTGCGCGGCTGTACTTGGATGACCGCGGGTGGTGCTAAGGGGATAGGGGTATCTAAGAGGATGCGAATGAAAGGTATATCTGGCCGAACCTAGCTTATGAGTGGGCTGGACATGCCCTAAGCGGCTGTGCTGGGTGGGCGGAGCCACATACCGGAGCTACCTGACTCTTTCAGGTCACTTTGGCACTTGCGACACACTTATGGGCTAGGCTAGGCCAGATATGACCCGCCTTCACATCCATTTATAGCCTCCACCTCCTCTTTGCAACCACCGCGGTCATCCAAGCAGAAAGGCGACGGGGGCGAACCCAAGCGCGCAAGAAGCTGCTGTCGGGCCACATTCGCCGATCTGGGGAACCCCAGCGGCCCCGCACCAAAGCCAGAGGCCTCCTGGACGGGCTCCGAGTAGATGGGGCCGAAGGATCCCGCCGCACCGCCCATGCACCGCCGTTCCATCGAGGATGCATCGGCGATGCATCGGCGACGTCGGCGGCGATTCGGCGACGTCGGCGTGGGGAAACCCGGGCTCCACATGGAGCCGCACCGTCGCTGCATCGGCCGACCCCACCTGCTCGGACCCCGTCCGCGAGGCCTGGCGGAGGCCACTTTGGCAGAGGGCCGCCCTCCCCGCCGCAGCCGCTCGCCCCCGCCGCGGCCCTCCGCAGCGGCCCCCCCCGCCCGAGCCGCCGCCTCGAGCGCGGGGTCGGCGACGCCTCGCTCGAGCCGGCCCCGAGGCGCCGGCGAGCACGCACGCGGGCTGCGAGCGTGTCCTCTGGGCAGCAGAGCCCCCCCCCCCCGCGACATCTTCTTTTGATGGCTGGCAGCGCGCACAGAGTGGCAGGGGGAGGGGGGGAGGACTCTCAGAAGGAGGCCGCTTCTCAGAAGGCGCAGGCCTGACACCTACAGACAGGGCCCGCGACTTCTCAGAAGCGGGCGTGCTTCTCAGAAGCCTTCCCCCCTCCCCCTGGCCCCCCTCCGCGCGTGGCCGGCCCCGAGGCGCCGGCGACCCCGCACGCGGGCTGCGCGTAGTGTCCTCCGGGCAGCAGAGCCGCGCGCCGCCCCACCACCGGCGACATTCTCTTTCAATTAGATATGGTTTTTTCCAGTGCGCCGCTGCCAGCCAACCTCCAGAGTGCAAAAGATGCAGGGGTTGCCTGGCAGGGAAAAGGAATTACGCCATCCAGCTCGTGGAGGTCTTAGACGGCGGGAGGCCCTTGTAAACCCTCTGCAAAACCTCGAGCTGGTGTTTTGTGATGGTAGCGGTCGTTACCCCGCGGGAGGGTGGGCCAGGCTAGCAGTAACGCTTGGGCGGGATGGGGCGCGTCGGGGCCCGGGCGCGCTGCGGTCGGAAAAGTATGCGCGCGAGCAGCAGGCATCTGTGGGGTGGGGGGGGGGGGGGGCAAGTACCGTTACGCAGGGAGGGAGGGGGGTTGGCCCGGCAGAGGACACAACAAAAATCTCCGCACGAGTCGAACAAATCATCTCCTGATTTCTCTGGCGCCCGAGGCGCCCACGATCGCCCACGTGTTGGGAAAAACGCCAGGCGGAGGAGATGATCCGGCTGCATGCAGCATGTTTCGTGCCCCCGCCCCTCTCCCCCGCACTGCCCGACCCGTACTGCCAGCCGCCAGGGCTCGCCCACCATCCACTCCCAGACTGGCTCAGGGCAGCGCCGGCCGCCAGCGGAGGCGGGCCTCCGAAACTGGGAGGTAAACAGGAGCCCTGGAGTCCGACGTGCACCGTCAAGATAAAGGGGGCGAGGAGGGTGCGGGCGACAGGCCACTCGGCAGCAGCGTCGTTGCGAATACTTCCCTCGGCGACATGCCTTCCCCACTGCCGGATCCCCTGCCCTGTCGGCAACATGTCAAAGGCGTGGCCGTCTTGGGCTGATGCTTGTACGTGTCGAGGGCGCGGAGGAACGCCCGGACGAGCCGCATGACCTGGCGGCCGCGCGGACACGAACGTGGCGGACCGTGACGACGACGGGGCCGGCAAAGGCGACGACAGCGACGGCGAACCTGAGATTCTGGCGTCGCAGGTTTGTTTGCGTCAGGTGTGTTCGCACAATTTCGGGCCCTGGGGCCCTCGCAGATCGATCTGGCTGTAAAAATGCCTCACGAAGATAGGGTCTCTGGCTCCGGCCGTGATGTTTCGTGATGTTGATGTTGCAACGCTTTCGTGTCGTCGGATGTCAGGAGGCGGCGACGACGGCGGACGACGGACGACGAAAAACTAGATCGACGGCGGCGACGGCGACGGTGAAGGCGGCGAGGGCGGAGGCGGCGAGCCTCGCCTTGCACCGAGCCGCGCGCCTGTGCTGGTCCTACCGGGCGCGCCCGCCAGCGTGCCAATGAAAAACAAGTGAAACGCACCCTGCTCCAGTACGGCAGGTTCGTGCCGCGACGACGTCGGCGTTGCTTTCTGACACCGCGCGGATCTTTCAGCCCTGACGATGACGGCGTCCCGATAGCACCGATCGCTCGCGCGCGTGCCACGTATGTCTTTTTTCTCCGGGCCCCCGGCGGCGTGCAGCCTTGACCTCCCCCTCGTCATGAAGGCAAGGACCAGCTCGTCATCATGAGAGGTTTCTTGACGGCCCCGGGGCAATGGAGAGGCCCAGGGGCCCCAAAGTGGCGAACAGCATCCAGGCGCCCTCCCTCTCTTCCAGAACCGTTTCCCTGACTCGGCGGCGAGCGAGGGGGGGAAGTGAGAAGGAGAAGGCCTTCTCAGAAGGTGTTGAAAAATTCCCAGGTTTTCTGAAAAGTGCTCTAAGCCTTCCCCTCGAAGACAAACCCAACGTTTCAGAAGGCGCGAGGGCTTCTGAGAAGCCCCGCCACCTTCTGAGAAGGCCTTCTCCTTCTCATTCCCCCCCCCTTGCCGTCTCCGATTGACGCCAGTCCCACGCTTGGGGCCAGCGCCGCGCGAGCGCGGTACGAGCCTGCCGTAGGAGGGACCTGCCTCCCTCGAGCTTTTCTCGAAGGAGGGCGGGGGGCCGCGACGTCAGCCGGCAGAACACGGGAGGCCGCCGCCGTGTGCAGCTCGGCGGCCCCAGGATGGCGCAAGGCAGGGGGCAGTGCTCATGCTGGGCGTGGAAGGAGTCAGGAGGCAACTGCTGGGAGGTCTCCGTCGGAAGAGCTAGGGAGAATTGAGCCCCACTGGGGAGCTGCTACGCGCCAGAGCAGGCCGCGGCTGAAACAGGATTCAGCAGGATTGAACCAGATGAAACGGGATTGAGACGGATTAAGCGGGGTTCAACGGGATTAAGCCGGATCTCGGACCAGGGCAAGTCCAAACTGGACCTCCCAGGAGTTGCATCCGAAAAGGAGGGAGGCTCAGAGGCTCGTTAGGGGGGCAGTCCTGGCGCCACTCGATCAAATCCTGCATCGACGTTGCGTCGAACGTCCGCGATTCGAGTCGAACTGGGGTCGAACTGGAGTCGAACTCGAGCCGAACCGAATTCGAACAGAAGCCGGACTAGACTCGAACAGATTCGTTTGGCGGGCCCCAGGGAGGTCACGAACATCCAGCGCAAGCCGAAACAAGCCCCTTGTTCAATCCCAACTTGTTCCCTCGGTTTCTGTATTTTTGCGGCAGTATTCAGGACCCCGAACCATCAAAATAAAGACGAGACGAAAACCTGTCCCCTGGCATTGGGGCGGGAACTCTGGGACCTGCACATTTAAACACACATACTGTTTTGGGCGATCCCCGACAGAAAGCTGCTGCGAATGGTTTCGAGGTTGACCGTTTGCGACATAACTACTCTATGAAATTGCGTACTCACGGCCGTTGCACATGATACCAATGCGTGGCATAAACGTATGTAGTTGCATGGGTTGCAGTTGCGAGCGCAGGAAGATTGTGACATATCAAATGTAGTAAGCGTACGTCTGTTCTGGAAATACGCATGTTGTCCGGGTAAGGTTTGGATGTGCTGGATGTGAATGTATGGTTTTTGTTGAGGGACCACGTTATCAACGCATGCGTCCGATACCTGGGTTTGGCTTACACTACCCATAACGGTACATACCCATATATGCTTACACGTGTGTGTGATAGCGATGCGTTCAGGTGGTCCTTGCTTTGGTGTCTAGTATAAGCGTCTTCTCGAAATGCTGTGAATACATGCCCTCGAAGCGTTTACCCCTCTAAACGTTTACCCCTGTATGGTATGGACATCGGGCACGAGTATATGGTATGATTGTTTGGTGATGGTGGGTTCCTTGTGTGTGTGGTTGACATGTCCCTGGTGTGTGTTACTGATGCATGCTGCTGGTGGCATGATGTACGTCTGATATGTTCGTGCTCGAAGCTTGTGCTTGTTAGCGTGGTGTGATACGGATGACTGGTCTTGGTGCGTGCCCCGAGGGTGTGCTTATGATGCCCATTACTCGCATATGTGATTGATGCCTTGACACTTACGCACGTTACTGTTGTATGCGTTTGACGTGCGTCTGTCATGATTGTTTTTGGGACTTGCTTTTGATGTGAGCTATGGGTGTATGGTGTTGGTCAGTGTGTGCTATCATTTGGATCTCGTTGCGCGTTATTGATGTGCGCTGTTGGCGAATTTTATTGGTGCATTCCCCATTGACCTCTAATGTTAGCGGTTGTTGTTGACGCGTGGTGTTACTTTTTGCAACGCTACGTTGGAGGAGGGAGGGGCGGAGGCGAAATGAGAGGGCGCAGCAAACAAAGAGCCGATCTAATCGTCACTGTGCGCACCGTGGGAACGCGAGCTGGACCCCAACACATATCTTGCCAAGCAAAACGCCCCCAAGGAGCCGCGACGATTTCAAAATGGGAAAATGTCCAACGTGTTGCTTTCCTCAAGCTGGACCGCGTGGAATCATCATGCAACGCCCGCGCGCCATCGAATCACCGCGTGCCGCCTGCCCCCGCCATTGAATCGCGCCGGGCGAGCCGCGGAGGCGCGACCAACGCGACCCCCGAGCCAGGCCGCCGCGTGACCGCCATGGAACTCATCGCCGCGAGGACGCTTCATTCCGCAATGGTCGGGCATAGTGTCCGCGCGAATTTAGGCGCGAGCCGCAGTCGAAGCGCAGGCGGAATCGGCGCGTGCGCGCAGCCGTCGAAAGCCAGGCGCTGCCCCGGCCGCGCGGCCGATGGCGTGCGCGGGAGAAACACCTCCCAAGCTGATTTATGATGGAACCGACGGACCACAAGAAAGGGCCACTTTGGAGACCTCGCGTGAAGAAGAAACGCTCGAGCGCGAGCGCCACGTGGGGAATTCGCGGGACGCCGGAGGCGGTCGGGTCTCATGCCCGCGCAAGTTGAACAAAGTCCGCCCCTGGGGAATAGCGCTCGTGGGCCCACCGCGGGCGCGGGGGCCGCTGGCGCAGACTCTGCCGCAACCGCGGCGAGGCCCCGGCGCTCTCCCCTGGGGGCCACGGCGCGCGGCTGCGCTGGTGGCGGAGAAGAGGAGCCTGACGACAAACGTCGGCTTAATCGAAGCCTCAGCGGCCGGCCGCGGGCGCGGCGGCGCAACCGCGAACCCGCCGCGAGAGGCAGCGCAGCCCGCCGCGAGGGCATCCTCTCCAACCGAACGGGGGTCCCTGGAGGAGCCCCTGGCCCCCTCCCCGACCCCCCCGCCGCCTTTTCGCGGCGCCCTGCTCCCCCTCCCCGTTTGACCACGATTTGGGACACTTTTTTGGCCACGATTTTGCACACTTTTGTGGCATCCCTTCCGCGGAGGCGCACTTTTTTGACCACGACTCTTCTCGCAGTTAAATCATTAAGGAAAAATCAGGTTCGAAATCGTGGATGGTTTCGTGGGGCCTTGCAAGGGGGCGCGGAATCGTGGCCGAAAACCGCGGGCAAAATCGTGTCCGAAAGCGTGGGCAAAATCGTATCCGAAATCGTGGACAAAATCGTGTTGCCGAAATCGTGGGCGAAATCGCGGGCGCAGAATCGCGGGCCTGCCCGGTGCGCCCGCGTGCCAAGCAGGCGCGCCCGCGCAACATCAGCGACGGTAAAAAAAAGGAAGAGGAGGAAGCGGCAGCAGCGGCAGGAAGGCCAGCAGCAGCAGCGGGAAAAGGAAAGAATGGGAAGCAGCAGCAGGAGAGGAGGAGAGGAGGAGTCGTCGAAATTGGCCCGCCCGTTCGTCGCGCGCCCCACAGCGCGCTGGACATGCTCCTCGGGGGAGACTCGCCGGCCCCACGGGCCAGAGGCGCGCGAAGATCTGCGGCGACTGCCTCGCAGCATTTCTACTTCGCGCGCGCGGGGCGGCCCAGAGAGGCCCCTGGACGCAAAGTGCCCCGGCCAGGTCGGGCCAGAGATGGTTCTTCTCCTGGGCGCGGCTTTCAGGCGCCCCGAAGCGATGCAAGAGGGCCCCAAGAGGCGCCCGAGACGGTCCAAGAGGACTACGAGTCGTCGAACGATCGGCCAGCGACACTCACGATGGCTTCCAGACGGCCCACGACGCGCGCAAGACCCCCGAAGAGGCCACCGCGAGCTGAAATGATACCGAACGCGATTCTGAAGTTTGAAGAAAAATGGTAGCAGAGAGACAAGGCGGAAACAAGCCAGGGGCGACACCAGCCAATGACGCGTCGAAGCGAGATTGCGCACAAGCCGCACGCCGAATGCCCAATATCGGAGCGAGTCGGCGAAAGAGAAACCCAAAAAACTTGGAAATCTAGTATTGCTTGCTTCGGAAAAAAATCGTTGCACCAATCCGCTTGGGGGCGTAGCTTCATGACATATCAGTACCAAAAGGGAATGACGCCTGTGCGGCGTGACCGCGTGAAGCATTCCTGGCTGGATTTCCCGAGGAGAACCCACGGACCACTAGGGACTCCTGGGGGCAGGCGGCCACGGTACAGTCGGACCCAGGACAGAGGGACCTTCTTCAAGTACATGAGACCCTCCGCTGGCCAAAACACACAGAACATCCAAGGGCACCCTGCGCAGGACGCTCCAAGAAAACCCCACAAACACAGAGAGCGCATCAGGGTACCCTCCCCGAACCGACCCCAATCTCGGGAGCGGCCAAGAGGGGGGTGTCCAAGAGGGGGGGGTTCAAATCATGACCGGCGGCATGTGCGCGGCCCAACGGGGGGGCCAGGGACGTAATGAAACAAGAAGAGGCGCCATGAAATCTGGGGAAATATCATGGCCCCCGCCATGATATCCACCCCCCCCTAGTCATCACCCCCCTCTTTTCCGCCCCCGACAATCTCGTGCAAGGATGGCGTGGGAGGCGGGGCCCCCGGGGACCACCACGGACTCCTGGGGCCTGGCGGCCGCGGCAGGCAGGGACGGCGAGGCGGCATCTCCCCGGGGACGACTCGGGACTCCTGGGGCCTGGCGGTCGCGGTGTGCTGGGCGGGCGAAGCGTGTCGGGAGCCCTCTCCTCAAAACCTCTAACGACCCCAAGCTGTCGGACGGAAACGGTACTTCGGACGCCGGGGGTAAGGCGAAGCCAGGACGAGGATAAATTCGGACGAGGATAAATCGAGAACCTCTGAGATCTGGCGGCTCTGGAAGATGCATCGGCCGCCGCGGCCTTCCCAAAGCGTTCCGGAACGCTCTGAGAGCGTTCCGGAACGCTCTGGAATGGATTGATCCTCGTCCTAGCCCCGTCCGACTGGGAGCGGACGATCTGGAGGACACCGGGTGCGAGGTGGGCCACGAAGGCGAAGGGACCTCACACGCACGACGGCACAGACACCTTGCGCGGACCGCTGGCGCGGCACGCCGCGCGCAAGAGCAGGGCGGTGGCACGCGCGGCTCTGCCCGGGCAGCCTGCGGGCGGGCGCCGCAGCAGCCGACCCCTTCAGTGCTTACGTCGCCGAGGTGGTCGAGCCCGAGGGCCGGAGGTGGGAAGTGCCGGCGGTGCGCGACGGGGGCCAGCGCAGGGTGCTGCGGCGGCCTTCCAGCATCGCCGGGGCCCTCCGACATGGGGTCGGCCCCCTGGGGGAGGGGCCTGCGCCCGAGCCCCTTCCCGAGGCGGCGCGGCCTCCCTCCAGAAGGCGCCGACGCCCTGGCTCTGGCCCCCTTCGGCGGCCCGCGGAGGGGGCGGAGCAAGCGGGGCGGGGGTGGGTGGGAGGCGCACACGGCGTGGAACGCGTAGCCTCCGCCGTGGCCGCCGCGCGCGGCAAAAACAGCCAGCACACGGGAGAGGGGGCAGGAGCGAGGGGGGGAGGGGGCGGCTGCGAGAGGAAAAGCAAGGCAGGCGCCCAATTCTCAGTCATCGAAGAGGCCGGGCAGCATGCCGGCGTCCTCGTCCTCCTGCATCGCCTGCTCCTCCCCCTCGAAAAAGAAGTCTCCGACAGAGTAGTCGCCGCCCTCGCACGCAAAGGGCACCCGTACACCACAACCCATGCCTGGCCAGGGCCTTTCCTGGGCCATCTTGGATGGCCCAGGATGGTCCTGGCCAGGAATGGTGGTGGGGTGTGGGTGCCCCCTGCGGACCTCGTTCTCGAACAAGCTGTTTCCCTGCTCGAAGCCGGCGGGGGGGTCCACCAAGACCGCTTCCGTGCCCGGCTCCACCCGCGCGGCCGCGCGCAGAAAGCGCACGCCGCAGCTGCGGTTCCGGCCGATGCGGTTGCCGCGCAGCTCGGGCCGCGCACCGCGGTCGGCCAGCACGCCGTGCCGCGCGTGGCCCTCCACGACGCAGTCGGCGACGGTGCCCTGGCTGCCGTCGCTGAAGTGGATGCCGTCGCCCGGCGACCCCAGCACCCGGCAGCGCCTCAGCGTGGGCGCGGTGGCGGCCCCGCACACGTGCACGCCGCCCTCGACGACACAGCGCTCCAGCAACGGCCGGCCGTGGGGGATGTAGACCACCTTGCCGCGGTTCTCGGGCCTCTGGCAGCGCAAGGTCAGGTTGCGCACGCAGGCCGACACCTGCTGCACGAGCACGAGCGCCGACTCGCACCCGGGCTCCTCGACGACGACCTGCCCTGGGCCCAGCCCGACCACGTGGCAGCCACAGGCCACACGCACCGCCTCCTTGTAGGTCCCCGGGCGCACGAGCACGAGGCCACCACGCCGAGGCCCGCCGGCCACCTTGCCCGCCGAGGCATTGATGCCCTCGTTGATGGTCGCCGCGTCGCGCGGGACCACGACGGCGCCGTTGGCCTCGACGTACCACTCCAGCGACCATGCGCGGCCGAGGGGCGCCGCGCACCTCAGGAAGTCCAGCGGGTCGAGCCAGGGCAGCACCAGCGCAGGGATCTCGGCCCTGACCAGCGCCCCCTGGGGCGCTCGAGCGCCGCCGTCGCTCACGCCGCTGCTGCCCGCGGGCGCGGCGCTCGGCACCCCCGAGCTGAGCGGCGGGTGCGTGCCCTGCTCGCCCACGCCTGGCTCCTCCTGCATGGCCAGGGCGGCGGTCACGCGGCTGGTGATGCCCTTCACGAGCGAGAGAGCGGCGGGCTTCATCTCCGCAGCCGCCGCCGCCGCCTTCTCGCGCTGCGCCGCGGCGCTCTCCGCGCCAGGCGCGCCACCGCCGCCTTCGTCGGCCGGCCCTTGAGCAGGGGACGCACCGCCGCCTCCGGCATCTGGTTCGCCCGGACTGGAGCGCTTGGGCTTGGGCTGCCGGACGCGGTAGGTGAACACCTCGCGCTCCTCATCCGCGATCCTCACGTTCTTCAGCGCCGAGCGCGGCGCGGACGCGGACCTGGCGAGCTGCTCCTCTAGGTCGGCGCGTTGATCCTGCAGCAGCTGCGCTAGCCTGGCCTCCGCGGAGGCCAGCTGCTCCCGCAGCCCCCTGCAGGCCTCGCTGGCAACCTCGCCGGCCACCTCCGCCGCCCGCTGGGAGGCCCGTTCCGACGCCGCCCTCAGCTGCACGAGCTGCTCCTCCGCCGCCAGCTGGGAGGCGCGCTGCGCAGCCCCCTCGCTCGCCACCTTCAGCTGCTCGAGCCGCTCCTCGGACGCGCGCGCCGCGCGCTCCGCGTCCTGCGCACACCGGCTGGCGGCCTCGGCCGCCTGCAGCACCTCGGCCAGCACCTGCTCGTGGCACACGGCCCGCTGCGGCTGCGACGCGGCCCAGGCCTGGGCCGGCGGCACCTCCGCAGAGGCGCGGCGGGCGGCCCGCGGCGCACCCTGGGGGGCGTGGTCGCCGAGTCCGGGCCTCGCGGGCCTCGGCGGCGCCGCCTGTGGCGGGGCGCGGGTGGCCTGCATCTGCTGGCGGAGCTCGGCCACCTCGCGGGAGGGCGCCGACTACTCGGATGGCCGCAGTGGCTGCTGAGAGGGCATGGGGCCATTCGGCGGCGAGCGAGGGAGGGAAGCGAGGAAGGAGGAGGCCTTCTCGGAAGGCGACGGGACTGCTCAGAAGCGCTGTGGCCTTCTGAGAAGTCCTCTGTGTCTTCGGGGAAGGCTTAGAACACTTCTCAGAAGGCTGGGGGACTTCCGAGCCGTCCGAGAAGGCTTTCTCGTTCTCACTTCCCCCCTCTCTCGCCGCCAAGTCATGAGAGGATGAAGGTGGGCTATGTCTGGCCTAACATGGCTTCTATCTAAGTGGGTTGCACATGCCCTGAGTTACTTGAAAGGGTTGGGCCACTCTGGTAAGCGTAGGCTCCGCACACCTGGCCCAGATCTCTGCCCCCCCTTGGACCGCTCAGGGTACGGGCAACCCACTCGTAGGCTAGGTTAGGCCAGGCACGCCTTACATTAGCATCCACTTTGGGGGAAATCAAGAGGTACCGACACCACTACTCCCTGGACCTCGCCCGAGGTGCGTTCCGACCAGGCTTTCAGGGCGAATCCAGCGGTGGCGACGAGGGCCACCTGGCAGGCCCCACAAGGGGAAAATACAAGGGAAGGGCAGTGGTATGGGTACCTTTTCCACCTCTGCACTCGAAACCTCCCTGCCCCCTCGGCTAGAGGCCTCCTAGACGGGGTCCGAGTAGATAGGGTCGGAGGATCGCACCGCATCGCCGATGCATCCGCGATGCATCGGCGATGCACGGCGACGTCAACAGTAGACCGGCGACGCCAGCGCGGAGAAAATCGGGCCCCGCGTCGAGCCGCATCGCGATGCATCGAAGATGCATCGGCGATGCGGCACGATCCTCTGACCCCATCTACTCCGACCCCATCTAGGAGGCTCCTCTCCTCCACCTCCTCCTCCTCCTCCTCCTCCTCCGCCTCCGCCTCCGCCTCCGCCTCCGCCTCCGCCTCCGCCTCCGCCCGCCTTCGCCTCCGCCTCCGCCTCCTCCTCCTCTCTCCTCCTCCTCTCCTCCTCCTCCTCCGCCTCCGCCTCCGCCTCCGCCTCCGCCTCCGCCTCCGCCTCCGCCTCCGCCTCCTCCGCCTCCGCCTCCTCCGCCTCTTCTCCTCCTCCTCCCTCCTCCTCCTCCTCCTCCTCCTCCTCCTCTTCCTCCTCTTCTCCTCCTCCTCCTCCTCCTCCTCCTCCTCCTCCTCCTCCCCCTCCTCCTCCTCCTCCTCTCCTCCTCCTCCTCCTCCTCCTCCTCCTCCTCCTCCTCCTCCCCCTCCTCCATCCTCCTCCTCCTCCTCCTCCTCCTCCTCCTCCTCCTCCTCCTCCACCATCCTCCTCCTCCTCCTCCTCCTCCTCCTCCTCCTCCCTCCTCCTCCTCCTCGCCTCCTCCTCCTCCCCTCCCCCTCCTTCACCTCCTCATCTCCTCCTTCACCCTCCTCCTCCCTCCACCCTGCTCCCTCCTCTCTCCTCCCCCCAGATCGGCAACCCCCGCGGTCATCCGAGTGTGCGCCCGCACCGAAACCCTGGGCAGGCCCGTCCTGGGCCCCGGAACCCGGCGCCGGGCGCCCCACGCTGGCTTGTGGGCAGGGGGGGCAGCTGCGCCGAGCCCGAGCCACGCGAGGACCCTGGGCAGGATTGGTTGCGGTGCGGGCGTGGCCAGCAGGTCCGGGCGCGGGCCGGCGCGCCTCCTTTGCCCTCCCCCCTTCCCCCCTCGTCCCTCCCCCTCCGCGCCCCGCGCGCTTGTCGTCCGTCTGTCGTCCGTCGTTTTCGTCGTCGTGTCGTGTCGTCCCCCTGCACTCTGCCACTGGGGAGGATCCGCGCGTGGCCCCCCTGACGCGCGGAGCGCGCCAGGAGCGGCGCCGGGGGCGCCGCCGCAGGGGCCCAGCGAAGATCCAAGAAACCCGCGCGGAGCGCCAAAAGTTTCTGTTTATGCCGTCTTTATTTCTTCTTCGAGGATCGGTGGCTGTGCGGGTATGTCGTTGACGCTCTCCGCCGCCTCGTCGTCGATACCGCGCGTCAGGTCCCCGAGGCGGAGCTCGAAGCCGTCCAGGCGCTGCGACAGCTCCTCGGAGGAGGCATTCGCTGGAGTGGGTCTGGTGCAGATGGGTCGGTGACGACAGGGGCAATCGTTCGTTCACTGTGTACGATTGCATGCACTAGCACGCAACTATTGCCGGGGGGGCGCGAACTTTTGTACGGCCCACATCTATTGCGTGCAAGAAAAGATTTGCAACCGCATACGCGCGCAACTGTTGCATCCAGCGCGTAAGAACCCTGCATACAGGCGCCAACTATTGCAAGTACTACTGTGCCTCTCACCGTGGACCCATCTGCGCCAGACCCACTCCTCCAGCTGAAGCACTCAGCGAACAAGGGGATCCCGGCTGGCGGCCCTGGGAGACAGAAAGAGCGCTCGCGACATGCGCGCAGCCAACCAGCATCCCGCAGTATGGTGGTACGCGCTGTGCACAGCATTGAACGTGCGTTCTCCTCCCTCCTCCCTCCTCCCTTTCTCCCTTTCTCCGGCCCCTCCTGCTACATGCTCAGGGCCCCTCCTGGGAACGGCCACCTGGCCTTGCTCCGCCTGCGGCGCTCCGCACCCGCCGCGCCCGGAGTCGTGCGCATCTGGGGCTGCGACGGCGGCGGCGGCGGCGGCGGCGGCGCAGCGGGCACGCAGGGCCTGGAGCCGGCCAAGCGGACGGAGCGGCAGGGCCGCTCGGCCCGGCGGCCGGGGGAAGCGGGAGAGAGGGCGAGGGCGAGGGCAGCGGCAGCGCCGCAGTGGCAGGCGGCCAGGCGGCAGGCCCGGCCGACGGAGCTGGAGCCGGCGAAGCGGCCGTGCCACCGGAGGAGCAAGCGGGGAGGACGGCGCGCCAGGAAGGGAGCACGACAGCACGAGGGAGAGCACGACAGCAAGCGGGGCGCTTGCTCGAGCAGCGAGCGGCACAGAGATCGCACAAGAGGGAGAGGCGCTACGACGCGCACAGGCAGCAGACGAAGCCTTGGGCAGTGCCGAGGACCCGCTCCAGACTTTCTTT